GAAAGGGCGGGGGGGACGGGGGGGAAGGAGAGGGGGGGGATATGAATTAAAAGCGCCGATGATCAGAGCCATCCCTCTAATTCGAAATGACAAATCGCACTTAGGCGATACATGAACGAGAAAATGATTTATGGATTTTTCGCGACCGTCTGAGCAAATGAAGGCGACATGAATTATACATCCTAATGTGCAGTATATCATTTTCTAATAACACTGGTTTAGTTCTAATGCCGCGCGCCGCTCTCTTCGATAGGGGGTATCGATTAGATAAAAAGTCCGAGGGCTGCCTTTAAACTGGACGCGGCTCTTCTGGAAGCAGCAGCTGAGGTTTATGTATTTACCTCTGGCTGGAGCGCAGGGCTATCATCGGACCCCTGACACCGCCGCGTTTAGTTTTTCCATCTGTCATCATTTAATTTGGCAGTTAACGTCGCTGAATGAAGACTAATCTTTTCCTATCGCTGCATTTCGCTCCACGCTGCCATTTAGAAATGTAAATAGATGACATTAGATTTGTAAATCTGCCCTGCTGACGGGGATAGCACCTGGGTAAGTCAAACCTTTCCTCCCTGCCAAAATCCTCACATGCCTCTTTGGCACCCCACGTACAAAGGGGCATTTTCCAGCAAGGAGAACGTAGGATAAATAATACTCCTGCTCAGCCAGAACTTCCCCAGCATCTCTCCATTTACCCAATATCATGGATTATCTTAAAGATAAAAAACTTTGTGTTTAATTCATACACACTGGGAGGGTGAATCAACATGAAAACCTGAATGCATGTGTGTAAGGCAGGGAAGAGCTGCCAGATGGGGTGGGCTTCACCCCAGGCTCAGCCTGCATTAGTGCCCCAAGGCCAGGGCTTCCCCTCTCCTGCCACTAAGTCCCTTTTGCCCTTCATCACAGAGCAAGCGGTGAAGTCATGGTGACATAAGCTATGAATATTCCCAAATATTTCAGTGGTTTCTGGGCTAAAACACCACTCGACATTAGGAAGGATGAAGAAGTCCTGGCCCTTTGTGACACAGTATAAAACAGAGAGGGGGACAATGGAAGCAAAGGATTCATGCATTCATTTGGAGGGTGGGTGGGTCAATCTGTGATTATTGGGGAAGGGGTGAGGAAATGCTTCATTTTTCATTACCCAGGGGTAGTATTTCCATTGTTCAGACACAAAAGGAGCCACACAAGTAAGGAAATGCCCAAATATTGTGTTTTGGATTAAACAATCACTTTCCTAACCTGGACAATCATAGCTTTAGGTGTAGAAAACTAATCCCCATTGTTTAGTTGAGTCACCAAAATGGTCTTCTGCTTCTATTTCAGGTACTGGTCTTAGTTTTCGGCTGAGGAACACTGCGGCCTCTTTACTGTCTGGCTGTTAAAAATACATTGAGAATTGGACTTCTCCCCCCATCTCCTGGATTATCATTACTTAATTTAATTATCTAGGTTAAGAAAAAAACAACACCCAAAACAACAAAACCCACCCAGGTTCTCGTTCAAGAGAATTAATAACGGCTCTTAGTGCAGGAAAGATTACTGGAATCAATGATGTGATTAGGGTTGTAAATAAGAAGTAAAAGATGTCACCAGTAGAGAAAGCCCGCTTTGCTCACAGGGAGATGTGTATGTTTTACTGATAGGGCCATAGGATGAAAATCCTGCTTCAAACAGAGGTCGATACAGAACAATTTCAGAAATTAACTAAGAGGCCTGATTAAGGTTATTTGTGTCAGAGGGAAAGGTTCACTGCCACCACTCCCTCAATGGATTTCTCTCTTAATTGCCAATGAGGAGACAAAACAGGAAGGCTAGACCATTTGGCTAATCAATAAAAAAAAGCCTGCCTTCATGTTTGCCTGAGGAGCACTCCTTGGGTCAGATCGATGTCGCAGCCACCAAAGTTCTTGCAGAGGTCACCAGTGATCAAGACATTTTCTGATGGCTTTTAAACAACGCTGGAGCCAAGCATCTGCCGTGAGGTTGCAAATGTAAGCAGAACTGGAGATATGATGTTAATCATCATCCTCGTGTTTATGGGAGGACTCCTGGTGATAAAAACAACTCGTCGTATTTATGACCTTAGACAGCTGTTTTAATAAATGAAGATGAAGTGTTACTTCATTACATGCTCTGTACTGCACTAGTGATCAAACATGATGGAGCCTCTCCAGAAGGTGCTGGGAGTCTTCCTGAATAAGAATTGCAGTGGGTGCACCACGGTCCAGAACGGAATTACAGCGGCTGCACGCTGTAGGGATTGCTTAGGGCCAGCTTCTGCCTCCTTTGCTTTGCCCCCAGACACTCCTACAGATTTCAGGGAGACCACTCAAGCAGCAAGAGGCTGTTCCGTGTAAGATTGGTGCAGTCTGTTGCTATTATCCCACTATATCCAGCTTCCAGAGCCTATCACAATATTTATTGTGGAAAAAAAAAATAATCCCAGCCTGTTTTAATGACTTGTGCTTTTACCTGATTCAAGTCTGCATTGAAGCAAATATAAGAAAACTATTTTTTTTTTTTTTCTAAAGTTAAGCTCTCTACATTTTCTAGCAATCAAGCCTTTTTACAGTGTCTAGATCGGACGAGCCAAGATCCTGGTCACTTCAGAACACCCATTTCTCTATGTGTGGCTTTACACTAACCAACATACATTGAGCCTAATTCCTATAAGCTTGCCTCACGTCCCATTATTTTTAATCAATTAGTGGCAAATCTGACAATCTTGAACTTAGCACTTACCGTAGTGCTGCAGATACACTATAAACCAACAAAAATGACTTTACACAAGGTGATCAGTCAAAAATACATATTCCCTTTAAATTATCTATTTACTTGCAGGCAAGAGAGGACATCTGTGCCTGTTTTACCTCACAGAAGATATTTCTTGACAGAATACTTTTCACTAAGTCAAATTACTTACTGTCTAACTAGAATTTTCAGAAAGATAGTTTAGTCTATGGGTAGGAACCTGGTATTGCATCAGCTGAGAAGCAAAATATTATCACATTTATCAAGACAGGCATCATCAAGCCACTATTTTCTGTATAATTGTCTTTTTTTTTTTTTTTTATGGTATGGCTCAATCAGCTGCACCCATTTTTTTGAACTTCATCAAAATACAGCTGACCTGTATCTGAATTTAACAAATGCTGTTAAGCCTGAATGTTACTAGAACAAATGAGGACAAAACTGCCGTGGCAAACTCCAGTTGCTTGAGACTGTTAAGCTTCTTATTATGCACTCAAAGCCATAGGTAGATGGCTCATGATAAAGAAAATTGTTCTGTTGATTTTCTTTTCAACAGCGAGTTCAAGCCTTGAACTAAAGCATAGATTGTTCTGACGTTCAGCTTGAAAGCAGTAGTTAAAAATATAAAACTTTTATTCTTCTAATACTGCATGTGTAGTCCTTGGCAGAATAAATTAAAAAAAACCCACCCTGGGTTGTTTGCCCAGAAGAATTCGCATTCTTGGGCCTCAGTGTTCCATCCATACATCATCTCCAGCGTAATTCTATCACCTGAGTCATCACACCAACTAGACAGCAGACACCAATAACAGTGACTAGGAAGGGAAAGTAGAAAGATGGGAAAAACAATGTTATAATTATGGAGTCGCTTGGGAAGAGAGTGTATATTTGTATTTTTTATGACTATTCTAGGCGGGGCTACTTTCACTACGAATAATTAAGACTTTTTCAAATTTTCTATTTGAGTCTTCACATGGTAAGACTCTATACTCAGGTGCTTGCTTTTTCTCCTCAAATTGCATCTGCCTACTGTCAGCTTTTCCATAGTGTTACTCACCTCAATTTGAGCACCAAGGAAGCTCCAGTTGGTAAGCAGTTTAGTCATGTATGAGGTAATAATCAAGGAAAACACATTATTTTGTCTGTGCTAAAAGATACCGCAACATTCAATTCAGAAATTTTACCACCTCCACATTTTGAAAGAGTGACTTTAGCAGATGGAGGTCTCAAGAGTGCTTTTTGCCATTCTCAGGAAGATACACCAAAGCGACAAGTCCTTGAAAAGCCTCAGCTTACACACTCTCAAAAATTTATAAGTTGGGCCTTGAAAAATCTGCGCTAGACATCTCCTCTCACAACTCCTGCTTAGTGGCTGGACTGGATGACAGAAACTGTGCAAGTTCATACGTTCCACGCAATTGCCGTGGAGGATGAACACCGTTTTTCTCAGAATAATTATTTTCAGGGTTCTGCAGGCTCCTCTATAGAGCTGGATATGGATTCAGAGCTTGGGTACACTTATCATCCATACACTTAGTAACTCCCACTGGTGGTAGGGAAGCAGGAGAAAGTAGAAGAAGAAAGGCATACATATGGAACAACACAGAATAGCAGAAAAAGGAGGTCAGAAGTACTAAAGTACAGAGAAATGACTACGAAAGTTTAAGTGCAGCAAAACAAATGATAAGAGAGAAAAATTTAAAAAGCATTTAGACTTAAAAGCAAAAGCAATCAGACTATATCCACAAAGCTAATACCCTACCAGACTTTTCAGCAGCTTCCTAAATTCCCGCAGCCTAACAACAAGAACAAAAAAAGCTGTTAAGAGTTCCCCTTCCCCTTTTATCAGCAGGCTTTACATATGCATACAGAAAGCTCACAACTGCTAGCTCTTACTTAATTAGGTGAAGTAGGAATAGTCCCTGCTATAGATCTCAATGGTCCACACTCTATTCATTATGCAAGTTGTGGCCGGGTGTTGCTACAATTACAGTTTTTCAATTAAGAAATCAAACCAAAAGATTGTCTCTCTCCCCAGCAGTCAGTGCTAAACTGGGGGTCCCCGGGGGCCCCGCCGGCCCCGCGGCCACTGCCTCACGCAGCTCCAAGGTTGCTCTCCTCAGCAGGATCTCGCAGCTACGGGGGACAGGGGTGATACTCCTCGCTCAGCAAAACCTCGGGAAAATTATTAACAAAGTATGCAAGTTGCACAATCGAGACTTAAGAAATGTTTGATTTGAAAGTTACTCATGTCGGTGCTTCTAATGAGCCTGTAAGTCATGGGGATCCAGTACTACGAGATCCCTTTCCACAGCCCATCAGCCCCGAGGTTTGTTCACTGGAACAAGGTACTCAAACGGTCCCAGATTTTTATTCTGGGACACTACCTTTTCCATGAAAGCTTTTGTGGCTTGCTCAGTGTGCACAGCAAGCAGTGCTGCTGATGTCAAATCAGAGCTGGTTTCTGTCAGAGTATGCAATGCGTGAGGAAGGAGAATACAGATTTTGCAGTCAAATACGTTGAATACCATATGCTATCGTGTGTTAACGTATGTAACGCGTGCCTCAGTCCCTCTGTTTTAAGAAGGTCTATGCCAGTATTGCTGAATGTATTTTGACACGAATGGATGAGCGCTTGCCGAGCACTTGGGCAGAGCTCCGGAGGTGATCACAATGCTATAGGAAGTGGAGGGTGGGCACCACACGCAGTAAAGAAATCTGCAGCCCCATGGGACTGTCTCCCAACAAGCCCACAACGAGCTGCTGAATCACACCTGTTTCTTTTAACACTGGTGTTTTCTCATTTTGCAGGCTCTACTATGCAAATCTTTTTTTTGAAGTAACGCATGCATATACAGCCATATACATATGCTTATATGTAATTACATGAACCTTGGTGTTGAGCTTGGAAAGAAATGAGAGTCCTGCAAGGGGTGCGTGTGGGAGGGAGAGGGGAATGCAGCTGCAATCGAGTTCAGCTACGGTCAATACAAAACTGATCCTGCCTCTAGCAAGAGGCGACGTCTTTTAATCCAATGCATTTCCAAGCTCTTGGGAGAGGCTGACCGACTCCACCACTCACGAATGGTACCCCCATGACCGGCGGGGTCACCCCACCGTGGTGACAGCAGCTGGACAGCCTCGGTGGCTGCTTCTCCCGGATGCTGAGTACCAGCGCGGGTCCCTGCTGCTGCAGGGAGGGAGAGCATCCTTTCCCCAGCAGCATCCTCTCCGCACTCCGGCGTGCTCAGAGCGCTGCGAGCTGCAGCAGCTGCCTCTCCCGAAGGATGGTCCAGCAAATCCTGCAGCTGTGGGAGGCAGCAGCTGGATGGCAACAAAGCAATGTAGCACCCAAGCAAAAAGAGGAGCTCTGCTGCTTATTGCAAATAAAAGCAGCCAGGCGGTGTGCTGCTGCGGAGTAATCTGTGCGGTCACGAGAGGGGTGTCTGCCTCCAGAAGGCAGAGGGCTGACTTAGAGAAGTAACTGATTTATCGGAGAAAAAACATAACACAGGTGCTGGGGTAACTCTACATGAGCTAAGCATGAAAGCGAAGCGATTTGCTGGAAAAGGAGGGAAAAAGAAGGCAAGGCAGGAAGGACTCAGGTTGTGGGAAGTGTAAGATGGAAGAATGAGTCATGTGAATGTGATTTAGGGTAGAGTGGGAAGTTGATAGAAATCTTGTAGGAAGGCTTGGATTTTCTTAGCTTTGAAGAGCGTTCAAGAATTTGCTGCCTTTCAGTGATTCTCACCCATTTCCCTGTAATTGGGGGAAACTCATTGAAGGGGGATTGCTGCTTCCTGTAAAAGGCAGCATTAATAGCAAAGCGGGAATATTTTGGCACAATTTACTGCTATTACTGGTTGTGGTCTACTATTAGCATTAATTAGGAAAGCCTCTTCTGGAAGAACGTGTTAGAAAGTTGCTTGCCACTCTCCCGTGCTGCTGTAATGCTGGACAGTAGGGATCTGGGATGCACCTCTGTACCCCAGTTTTCACCACTCTGTAGTTTCTAAGAATCTGGAGGTGACCAGGAAACTAGCTTTTAATGTTCAATTTGCTGGAAAGAAAGAATCTATACTTTTGACCCTTTGCCATATTTTGCTCAGCACAGGAAAGAACAAAAGCACAATTAGGAAGGAAGAAATACCCTTTACAGTATTACTAAAAAGTGCCAATAAAGAACTTCAGAAATGCAGTTCTCTTTGCAAGTAAAGATGGGAAAGCCAAATAATAGTTGTATCATTGATTTTGCAATGTAACTATAGGCTTACTGAGCAGTATTGAGGAATACTAACTGAATATCCTTGACCAGAATTCAGAAAATTATAGCATCATCAGAAGTCCTTTATCTACAGAACTGTATATGTAAA